ATGAAGGGCCAGCTGCACTTTCGAATCCATCCACCATTAAGCAATTCAGGCAATTGTTATACATCAGAAAATAGATGCACAACTTTCATAGAGAGGCCTTTCAAACCCGAAACAGGAGGGAGATTTGTAAGTCCCGATTTGACCTGAACATACCTTTCTAGATACCACGTGAACTTCTTGGTGTCATTTAAAAATAAATGGGCAAATAGTTACCCACTAAGGCAATTAATGCACTTTAACAGTGGATGTGGACTTTAACGAATTCCAGGGGTGGTGTCTGCTGACCATCAGACAGCCCATCTACTTCATAGTCCTTAAGGGGTCATTTCAAACACCTGGCCCTTGAATCACCGGTGGCCCAATTTCTTCGTAGCTTATATGAACGTAACTACGTAAGTTAAAATGGCTTGTTAAAATCAAACGTGTTTTTCAATTCACTTAATTGTTTCTGTATCACAACTTTTATTGAGATACAGACGAGTCTTTACCCTCCTTTTTTATCGCCTTCAGAAATTGCCTTTAGCATAACTGGCAGGGCTGTTTTTAATCATTTTTCAAGTGTCATAAAATTTTAAAGATGCCCAATTCCTACTCATTCACGTAATCGTAAAAAAATTGTAGTGGTTTGTAAAGGACTCGATATCTTGTTTAACTGTGTGTTGATAGTACGTAGGCACTTCAATCTCCGCAGAATTCACTTCCGCTCTGCGGCATGGCCATGTCAGTGGTCCAGCCCCGGCTCTTCAGTAGGTCAGTAAGTTGTTGGTTCTTCCGTGCCATGTTGACCTCTTAGAGTTTGCGTAGAGAAGATCGGGGCAGCTATTAGCATGCCCTGAGGTCCTTGACTGCCAGTGACATTAATTGTCAGCGCACCACACAAGCAACACCGTTAGCTCAAAATTTTGAAGAAGATTTCCTCACAAATGCAACCTCCGTAGTCTTTTCCAAGGTCATAATAAAATGGAGTAGTATGGAAGTGTTTGGACGCCTTGTTTGCTTGTGTGACACAGTAGGTAGGCTCTTCTTTCTCCGCGGTATGTCCTTTGGGCCATGTCAACAGCTCCAGACCTCCAGCTTTCCTGTGCTTTAGTAAGTTGCATATTCTTACGTATTACTTTGATTACTAACATGGAGTGGAGCTGGGAGGCTGTTATTATGCTCCGAGGGCCTGGAGTGAAGTGACCCCTTGAATGAACGCAAGCGGTGAAACAAACTGCCGGCTTGCTGTTGACATTTTGGAAGGGCATTCGGTTCCTACATAAATCCCAGCAGTTAAGAGCAATTAAGGAAAAGGGAATTACTAATTCTTCTCTTAACTTTTAATGATTTTCCACAATTAGGTCTAGGCAAAAAAACAAATTTTTAGGGAACTTTGAGTTGAAAGGAAGTAAATCAACACTGTTTGTATTCTGCTAGTACAACGTGGAAGTACAAATTTTAATGGATGGGTCGCGGTCATGCTTTGATCATGTTTCAGGAAAAACAGGCGCAGAAAACTAGTAAACCCAAAATTTTGCGCGAAGCCCTATTTTGTCTTTTAAAGGCTTCATTCCTGCTTATGAGAGACGTGTGCCAAAGGGCCCTCGAAATGGCACTGCCTTTTGGCGATGACACATTAGGCAGGTGGGTGGATGTTATTGAAGCCAAGGCAGAATGCAATTGGCAACAGGCCTCTACAGAGGCACTGGGTGATGCAGCTTCATAAATAGGCTTACTTTTGTGCCAAAAAACCCATGAAATGTGACTGACATGCGGGATCCACCTCCCAGGCATCATGCAACTATGATCGAAGCCTTAACAACCAACCACCTGCTCGACTAACCTTTTTTTGATGACCATTGTCGTGGAGCGCTTGAAAAGGGCCTCGGGGATGCTGATACTTATTGAAGCAATCGTTATGTTTCCCTAATCTTTTTTTTCCAAAAATGCTAAGCAGGGGGTAAGGTGCGTCAAGCCAACCATGCATCTAACCTCTCAATCTTGTCACTTCTTTATGCAAAGGGCATACTTAAACTTGTAGGGGTAGAAGTAACAGAGTGGTGATAGACGCTTGACATGCCAAAGAAATGAAACCCAAAATGTACCGTGAATACGATGAAATACTGCCTTGGCAGTAATTGCTGCGACTTCTTTGGAGGTCATTTCTAGAGGTCACAAGGAGATATCACAAATGATTTGGCAATTTTACGCAAGATTATCTACACTCTTCATTTTATGATCGTAAAAAACCAATCATTTTGAGGTACAAAGGTTTTCTTCTTCTATGCCAGTGGATAAATTGACACGTTTGGTGTGGCAATGAGTTTAACCTCCCCAATCACCATAATATTTTCAATTCATCACTTCCAACAGAATTGTACCATCACGTTCTGTTTAATTTTTCTTTGTAAAAGTAGTAAATAAAAGATCTACCAAATATTAAGGCTTAAAGTAATCAGAAGTTGTTCTGTTACAAAAAATCATCTTCCAAGGGACTGCTTCACAATCGACAGTTAGTAATGCATAGAGATCATTTTCTTCTTTCAGGTGTTTTAAAAGGCATAATTTTGAAGGAAAATACGCAGAAGAGTTGACAGGCTGCCAATGGAGATGACATGGACGAATTGCGGTTACCCCGATCTCCCCGCCCACGGATGGAAATCGAAACTGTGTGGATGGTAGAGCCCAAATAGAGTAAATTTCATTCCCTTGCAATATATTTCAGTGGTTGCGTAAAAACACTATACCTAAAGTGAAGTAAAAACTCCGGGTGGTGAAATTGCAAGCCTTTTTGGCGATTGATACGAGTGTGTGTGTATGTGTGTGGCACACATTTAGGCTTCACGAGAGTGGTGACACTCCATAACTCAAAGCAAATCTACACTCTTGTTTTTCGCGTGTATCCCGTTGGCCTTGAGAATATGTTAAAAAAATAATGTCGAATGGTTCATTAAGTGGTGGCCCAGACCACTTAAGAGGGACCCAAATAAACGAGCATTGTAGCCGGTGATCCTGAATGCTGGTGTTCATGATCACCTCGACGATTCACCACCAAATCCCCACGTCTTTTGCTCATTTAAACAAGGCAACAAAGGAAAAAGAGGGACTTGTTCAATAAAAAATGAAGTTTGTAATTACTATGGAAAGGGAGGGGGTTCAGAAGCATTCACTATCTTAAAGGCTTTTGGGAAGTAGAATTTTTGGAGAAAAAGGAGGCATACTACTTGTTTTAAATGACACCTTACTAGCCTGGCCCAGAAAACAAGTCACAGACGTTGGAGGTGCAGCCTGCGAGAACTGAAGTGTCTGTGTATAGTTCGATACGCAGTCAAACAAAATTTCATGTTACCAGGCAAGCGATCGCCAAAATCGGCAATCCTTTGCAGCCTCTACGGACCGGATGAAGGCTTTGTGATGAAACGCCACTACCTATGAAATGCTTTACCTAAAACACGAGATAGATGTAAATTTAAGGCATTTTATTTGTTTAGGTATACCTTGATCCACGGAAAATACCACCCGTATGCCCACTTGTCAAAAAAGACATCTATTTCCTCTAAAAGGTCCTAAGCAGTGGTGATTACGTTATTTACCCGCTTGTTCATTCATTCACTTATCACTTCACAATCAATGCGGTCAAGATATGTAGCCAAGGTCACCTAAGCCGGTGTTAAAACCTTGTCACCGCATGGCCCATTCCCATTGGCAAGTGGGGGGGGGGGGGGGTGGGAATGATCCCGACAGCTCTTCCCCGGTTAACCAATCGCAGCCTTGCGCCCGCCTGTGCATTCGTCATTTGACCTAACCAGAAGTTTTCGCATCTTTTTGCTGTAAGGGTAAGGTTTTGGGATGTATCCACTTTTTACCAGTGTGTGCTACATGTTTCATCGAGGTTGTTACCTGCACACACATTGCATACTCAAGCCCACATCACATTGATCACCAGAGGACCAAAATTTCACACACTGCAATGAAAGTGACGGAGAGTGCGGGTGCTTATGCTTGTGTTTTACTGCTTGTTTAAGGTGATTCTCTTGGAGATTGCTTCATATTGCTTGATTTTTTGTATAAGCAGATTAAATCACCTTCTTTCCTTTCACTCACTCCCTCACACGCCCATTGACTGCGCTTAAGCGTTTATGTGAAGGCGAATTGAATGAAACGGTTCCAAATTAAATTGCTTTTATTACTTTACTTGCAGCCCCTTGAAAAACTCACACCTTTTTCTTCTATTTTTTTGTAGGGGTTCGGGTTCCTTAATACTCCCAACGGTGAGCTGAATTTGAGGATGTAGGTGTTGAATCATTTACTGGACAAATTGTAAACACAACACTTGCTATTTAAAGCACTTGATTGAGGTGTGGGTCGAATTTACGCAATGGATTCACCGGAACTAACTTTAATTGTAGGCTAGCCACTGACCAAACATCTCTGTGTGGCTCATTTTTTCCTTTAGCACTGGAAATTGCATCATAAAAAGGGCGCACATCAAGTGACTCTCTTCGTTAATGTTTAAGAAGCTTGCCTAGTTCTGTTTCATGTAGTTTAGCTTCATTTGTTCGGGCGCAAACGATAAGAAATTATTGAGACAAAATAAACGTGACTTAGTGTTTAACGACTAAATGAGAAAATGGTTGCATAAGGTTTTTCTGTCGCAACAGCCTTAAAGAATTCGGGTTTTAAATCACGTAGAAAGTCTTTATTGTTTCTGCTTACATAGTTTTGACGAATGAATTTGTAAACATGACTGAGACACCCTAGAAATGCACCAATTTAGCTTAAATATAACCTTAGTTCCATTGCGAAGTAAGAGTAAAAAGGAAAGTAAGGTAGCAAAATCAGACTTCAGTTTAATTTGGCAAAGTCCTAGTAGATAAACACAGTAAGTGACGGTTTACTTGTGTGTATGTGTGTGAGGATGTAGTGTATTATTTTCCTTTTCGAATACAAGGCAAAGGGATGGAGTATGTGAACAAGCTAACAGGAGGGGAGAGACAGAGGGAGCGAGTACAAATGGGCTTCTACTCGCCCAGCATCATACTGCACTCTTTGGCACAGGCTTCGTAGTAATTCTTCTCTGCACGGATCAGATCCAACAGCTGAACGCTCAACCCATCCTAGAATAAGCAACACAGCAAGTCAAGTATTAGCACAATTAAAAGGAACGGATCAGAGACATCAAATGTTGCAAAAGTCACTTACGAATTCTTTGCAAGTCTTCTCAAAGATAGTAAGAGATTCTTGGTGCACTCGATCGAAGTCACTTTCGTCTTTTCGCACCTCGGCCTCCCACTACGAAGAAAAATCGTTAAATTCGAATTTTGCTGTTGACTTAATTAAAGACTCCATTACCTTGGCCTTCTGTTCCGCAGTCTTAGCATTCTTCAATTTAGTCTTGTCAGAGTCCAAATCTAGTCGAACCTCCTCCAGCTTGGTCTTTGCTTTCTAAGTGGGATAAAGAATTTCATCATAAATTTTCTGTATTTCATAGTTAAGAGAGATCAGAGAGGCACAACTTACCTGGGCCTCGCTAAGCGTGGTGTTCAAGAAGTTTTTCAAATCTTCAATGAAGGTGGTATTAACCTCACTATTGAAATTCTTTCTGGCAGTGGCCATACGCTGATGGACATCAGAAGCTTCCGTCAGCATTTTAGCTATAACCGATATAAAAAGGATGGGCAGAGGCAAAAATGAATAGGGTCCTTGTTAAACTAGAGGAGTACATACAAAGTTGGGGAGCTGCCTTTTCTGATTGGGAAGCAACCTGCTCGAGAGCAGTACCCAGTTTGTCGGTAGTAGTAATCTTCTCCTTATTCTTCTGGAAAGCATCCGCGACTTTAGATGCTATAAAAGACAACACCATATCTTAGTAGTAGTTCACAGCTGCTAAGAGAATCTACTATTATGGAAAAAACATGTATATAGAGCAGCAAACCGGACAAACGAGTAGCAAGATATTAAACTAGTTCAGATAAGTAGCACTAACAAAAAATGCTAACCAATGTTGATGTCTACGAATTCCTCAGTAGCGGTGATGATCTTGCTGATCCATGCTTTCATTTGGTCGATCTCATGGATAAGATCTGAGGTTCGGGTAGGATATGAGGTCTTTTCATTCTTATTTACAAGCTCACCAGCCCGCTAGATAAAATTAATTCGTGAAACAAATTTCTTAGTACCTGGGTAAATCTATTGAAAGTCTTAGTAACGTCAAATCCGGACATCTTCTGTGCAATTGAGAAGAAAACGATGAACTAGTTCCCACAGCTTATTTAAATTGATGCCTAGGTCAACTAAGACTATTTAGTAATTAAAACGAACAGGGCATATAATAAATGACTAAAAAACCACTGTCATTGACTTAAACAGCTGCAAAAACATTTTGTGCGTAAAGGACTTGCGCATAAGGCACATAACACACTACCGCACGCATGAATTTCTAATTAATGCTGTAATAAAAGATTTTCAAATTTATTCAGAAGCCAAAGCCGAGTAATGGGAGTTATAAATGCATAAAATACATGGAAACTATTTTAATACTCTAATAATTGCCTTCCAGTTATTTACTTATGCAGCCGTAGTGAGAATTTTTAGAACGATAGGCAATACGTCGGTTGCTAGTTTAGCGGCCTGTTTTAGTAAGGGAACACTTTGTCTTGGCCACTATACCTCGCCCAGAGAGCCGGCCTTTGGGCCATGCCAGTAGTCTATACTCCTTCTGTGGGTTAAATGTATATGCATTCTGCTCGAATATTGTGTACACTTTCGTCCTCAGGGCTCCGTACTGGTGGTAGCCGAAAGCAAATCCAATCTTAAGCGACAATTGTCCTGATTGTTGCCAATATGCTACAAGCACTATGGATATAAGAAGTTTATATGATATGGATGAGAGAATCGCTGATGAACCCAAACGGAAGGATTTTAACTGACGTCTACTCTCGGCAACCATCTTAGTCCCATGTTTTTCAAGAAAGCTAATAACAAATGAAGCTAAGCTAGTCGTAAATTACCCAAAAATGCCTATTTGCAGAGCTTTCCTACTGTACCAGCATAAAGCTGCCTATGAAGAGAATTCATGATGCCCCCTCTACTTCGCGGCTAGCTGGATAGAGCCTAGACGGATATGATCGAGCAGCTTTGAAGTCAAAAAAGTAGCAAGGATAAACAGACGCAAAGCCCTTTCCATGGACATGTGTTAAATTTCGTCCTTCCTCACATTAATCTGCTTTTAGGATATTTTTCCTACGTCTAGTTACGGGCAAAAATGACAGCTAGTATGATCTCCCAAGCCTAAAACCATTTTTTAAAGTGAATGGCGCTTTAGGTGTAGATCAAATGCCAGGAAGGATCAGAGACTCCGTGGTCAAGTATCTCCTTAGTTGCATAGAAATTTAAAGACTGGTACGGCCATCCCGTAGTTGTTCACTCACAGTACTGACTACGTTGTGATGACTAAAGCAGAACGTTAACCAAGGGAAGCGCTAAAGGCTGACACTCAAGAGGAATTGAGGGTTATGTAAAAAGTTGGTTGTCGGATTAAAGGTACGGATGGTAAATTGACATTTTTCTTGGCTGTTGTACCCTGCTGGGTGAGCTAGCCGCCAAGCCACGTCAGTGGACCCTACTCCTCCTGCATGGAAAATGCATGCATAAATTCTGCTTTAGTAATATGTGCACCTACGTATTTATGGAAGTCTCGGGGCACAAAACGCATATTAAGATGGGGTTCCTTATGTTGACGTACTTGCCATGTTTTGGATGATATCAAAATTGTTGACCTCATGCGAAGCTATCACGATTTCTTCTGCTGCTGTTTTTTTTATTTAGGTAGTAGCCAACCTTAAATGGCTTCTAGTTAACTTCAATAATTTGGCATTAGAATCTCATTGCTAGTTTAGCGAAAGTTTTCGTGAATCGCCAGTGAAAATTTTGCACTAGTTCGTTGTTAACAAGTAATTCATTTAAGTACCGGAGTATTACTCGTTTTAATTATTCACTTGTCCACATAGTTTGTTCAGTCATTTTAAGGCGAAATTAGGAAATGGGTGTAGGTGTTGCGTGGTTGAGGCACAGAAAATCAAGCAGCATATAAAGCAAAGTGGTGAACAGCGATTTACTAGAATCATTATACAAGAAATATGTGGCCAGCGCTTTTGGCAGTTTTGATGTAAGATTGAAGTTTCCTCACCCTGTAGCTCTGCGTATGCTGTGTGGTGCGGAGATAGTCTTACATTAATTGATGAGTGTGATTTCATCCCAAAACTTCCGAATTCCAACGACTGGGATTTTGTCATTCAGAATCCATACAAGGTAGAAATTGCGTCTGTTTTTGTTACCCATTTTAGGGTGTGGTTGAGGTTTTGCGATCGCCAACAAATAAATTTCAGGTTCTCCTTAATGCCTCATTTGAAGAAAACCATGATTGGGGCTTGTATTACACGCTTAGAACAGGAAGCAATGAAATGTTTCTGCAGCTGGTAGGTTTTTCAGTGTTAACCGAGCAGGAATTTGCCCTTTAACATTCAAACCTGTGCCTGCTGGGTACTGAATTTAAACCTATCACTTTGTAAGAAATTGTGTCGTCGTTTGTTGGTCATACCATTATTAACTCTTGTAACAATTTCTTTGTTCTCTACTAACGTTCTGTTTTTAACAAAAGTCCACCAGGGTGGTTCAGCAGCGGGTCTACACGGACACCGAGGAAGACACTGTGTATTTGCAGCTCCTTCTCATCACCATTGCCTCATTGGTTTTAGTCGTCTTTGTTGTCTCCATCATTTTTTCTTGTTGGTGGATTAAAAGCCGCCAGGAAAATCTAGAGCCCGGTGAGTACGTTTTCACCCCGTCTTCATGTATTACATCCTACCAGGATTACAGATATTTTTTGTGCTCGGCCAACAAATCAACTTTCATCTCAAGCATCTTTTTTCGAAACTTGTGGTGAAAGAGGCTACTGACCGCATTAGGGTTTTGTCTGGACACGAGTTTACTTTTTTTTTTCTTTGAAACTTAAAGGGTAGACTTGACTTGATGTAGGATATTTTCTATCTTAAAGTCGCTGTTGAATGAGAGATGAAAGACTAAATAATTTCCTGGAATTATATATAATCCAAGCAAACAAATGTATGAAGTGCCCAATTGCTTGTTCAAATATTAGCTGACTACAAACACATTTATTTTTCTATCGATACTTTAATTTCCATCTGTCTAATCAAACCAAGGCTTTTTCAACTACCACTGTTATTATTTATTTACTTCATTTTCTGGCGAAATGATTTTTTGAGGAAGCAGAATTTAATTTACTCGCATTTGGGGTGTCATCGCACTACCCACTTGGCTAAGTTGAGGACGACCCTTCGTTTCAAAATAATTGTTAATGCGATTTCGCCACTCCTCAACCAGTCAACTTAAGATAAATTCTAGAGCCAGAAGCCTTCCTCCCGTTAGCGTCTTCTTGAAGCATTTATAATTACTCTGGTTTCTTGTTGAATCCTGTTTATTTCTCCCAAGTCTTTCAAACGTAATCTGTTCACTCTGACGTAAAGTAGATGCTTTGTCATGGAAAGGTTGAGCGAAATCACCTTTTAGTAATGAGGGTGGATGTCAAGTCCAGTGGTTTCTGTTCTGCCTTTGGTAGATGGGTACTTTTTTAAAAAAGAAATAAATTATTAATGCCTAGCTTATAAAGCGCGATTTTGCCTCAAGTTCCGTGCTACGTAGATGCCTCAGAAAAGGTATGTTTTCGTTGCAGCATGAAATCGCATGCCTTTGCATGACTTGTACAAACGTACCTGTTATAAAGTGCTTAGTTTTATGAGTAGACCCTGTTTTACACTTAAACTTTGCATCTATTTCAAGCATTTCCACTGGAATTTTTCAAGTTCTCATTCGATCTCATTCATTTTTTTAACATTCGTCAAAGCCGGAATACGCAGAAATTTGTCGTCTCGATGGAAATGACACATTGAACGCGGACGGTGAAATTGAACTAATTTCACTGGGACAAAACATTTTCAACTCATATGAAAACGACACTGTCAAGGTGGGTTCCTATACTTCTCTGATAGCAACTATTTCTTTACTCATCAAGTTAAGGATGTTTCGAACTGAGCTTTTAAAATGGAAGTTATGTCGTTAACAAAGTAGCAAGGTAATTAAGTTGTTATATGCATTCAAATCTGGTCGCACTATATTACTGGTTACTATTTTAAAGGTGTCATTATAATAAGTGCGATCAGTCAGCGCGGTTTTAATGGCCCTTTTGTTGTGAATTTATGCAGATTCATCCACTCATAGTGGTTTTACTTCTTTGGCCTTTTAACACGGTATCTAGTTAGCCAAACAGGATTGCACCGCTGCTATTGTAATTCTAAATGAGATTTGCGAAATGCTGGTGCGGAAGCAGCTGTATTAATAGCATACAAAGAGTAAGAAAACTACCGGCCTAGGTGACATGAACGGAGGTCCGCCAAGTTGCCTAGACGGTGCAAAATGTTTAGCAATCACCTGAAGGCTTTACTTCCGCTACGTTCAACAAAATAAGAACCCAGTCCATTAATTAGATGGGGCTTAATTAATGTTAATAGTTTCATGGCGTTCAAACTTGAATTTCATTCCTCCGCCATAAAATAAGGATGCTACTTCGTCATCCCTGCGCCCAAGTGTGCCCTGTTATTACTTTTAATGGTCGGGGCATTTTTTGTGAACTGTAGGGAAACTTGGCTGTGTGTGAGTGGAAAGTCATGTTTGTTGAGCGTAGTTTCTTGTTAAAAATGAAGGCGTAGGACCCAGGGATATCTACCTGTACAGAATTTAAGCACAGTGTGATAGCAAGCTTAGACGGTCGGTAGTAGGGGATTCGTTTGCCGTGAACGTTCTGGAGGCTGTTACCTATACGTCTTTAGGTTACTAAAAATTTTCATAATTTCAAAATCCCCATTTCAACTTCACCACTCCGTATAACCACCAAAACAGTTTCTGTCGATCATTAGTTAGCTGACCAGAGGAGTAACTCATGACATTTAAATATCAAACAGATCAGGTGAATTCTCTTCTCGATTGCCTTCCAGAGTAAGGTTACAGGTGGTGAATATACCACCTTCACAGCGTTGGCCGGTTCAAAGGAAAGTGCCGAGGAGGGAAGGGAAGGTACTATGGACGGTGCCAAACCGTCAACAGAAGCCAACGCCACTTTGCCGGGCACGACACACACCCTTCCACGCTACAGCATTGCGGGAAACAACGGAGCAGGAGGTAGTGGTGCTGCAGTTATTGGGGTTCCGCCCTCCATCATTTCATCCACAGTAGCTTCAACGGTGAATACGTTTGGAGCGTCCCTTCCACGGATGTCTGGTGTGGAGGGCGTTGGAATGACCGGTGGGTTGATTGCTGCTGGAATTCTGACACTATTTTGTAAGATTTTTGGAATAAGACTGAGAAGGCGCCAGTTTTGTGCTTAGTTAATGACCACTTCACCACAAGTTGCAAGTTTTGAATTCGTGTTCATTTCGTGGGATAAGGATTGAAGGAAGAAGTTTTTCTTCGTAATGTAGTTCCCCATATATCCTTTGAAAGGGCGTCTATGGTCACTTTTCTTCCAAATATTTTGAGGGATTGAGTCGTTGATAGCGAAGGGATGACAAACATCTTTCGTGACTAGGATAATTATTCAGATTTCCCATCCTGTTCCTTGCGCCCTCTCTGGCTGCTCTTCTGCGCCAACCAAGACAACAACATTTGTATGCATTGAGATTAAGTGTGAAGCGGAAACTGTGTTAAATTTTCATCGAAAGCGTTGGATCACATCAGCTTTCATAGGTCCGCATGTCATGTCCTGTTTTGTGTAATGAATTGGAGGTATTCACTTCTCCCGCTAGTCGGTTTTGTGGGAAGGTTTGTTTGTCAGCAAAACTATTCCCCAGACGTCAAAATTCAAGCATCACTTCGGCGCTTTATTTCGCCTTCCCTTTTTCTCCTCACTTCTTGCACAATTTAATGTCGACCAACTTCACCTCCGTGTTGCGTTATGCCCTTGAAATGTGTGGATGACTTATGATCATGGCACTATTCGAAGGGGGTTATGATACATTCCTTCTTTAATCTTTACTTTGTGGTCTTGCACTATTTACCAACTATTGTGCATAGCTTGAGGTAAGATTATCTTTAAGTCGTTAGTGCAGTTTTTAAGGTGCTTCTTCCTTAGGTCTTCGCAGTTGCATAAGGCAACTTTCCGGCCCTTAATTACCGGACGTTTTGTGGCAGTCTTGTGAGGTTAGAATAGCCCTATTTTGCTTGGTGACTATCGGTAACCCGTGGAGAAAGTGAACCAAACCTCTACATTAGGTTTAGTAGGTAATCTAAGTTAAAGTTTCACCTTTATTTCTTTCTATATGAAAGTATTTGTGATGAAGCAGAGGCAAGTTAGTTGACTTAATTTACTTTTACTTATGAGCCTTGGAAGTGGTGGCTCTTTTGGGGAGAAGTTATTGCGTACCGTAATCTGTCAGGTTTTGGTGGGCCCCACTGTGGCAGTGGGTAGCCTTAAAAGTGCTGCCGTCTTCCTTGTCTGAGCTAGCTAGTGTTCGAAAACCCATTTTTTGCTAATATTTGACCAAATATCCGCATTTACCAAGGGATTATTAAAATGTAAACCTAGGAAATTGAGAAATACACCCGAGGTTTGCCACCAGATCAGGTGATTTTACTCACATTCAGGGAAGCCTCGGTTGCATAACACTTTAAGAAGCATCTCGTCAAAAACGTCCAGTCATGAAACATTGTATTTAATTGCAAATCCTACAATGAACTCTCCAAAGTTTCCTGCGATGAAATGCTCTTCGAAATAGGCTAGAACGATTTTGATATTTGCCTTTACATTCCTCGCCGATCCGACAACTAGATAGGGGCAAGTGCTAGGTAGTCGCATATGCTAGCTTGGTTTTTTTTTAGATAAACGTTAGGTAACTGCAGAAAGTCGCTTTGGATAGTGGATTCGTTAAAAGTATCACCACTAGCATCTACAATCCTTCCCCATTGTGAACCACAAGTTAACTTCGGACTCAATTTTTATACAACGAGTCTTATTTCTAGAAGTTAAGACAACCACTTTGAGGGATTTCATTAATTGAACACAGGGGACGTGGATAAGGTGGTATTTCCCCCTCCCTCTCTTTTGCCCCCAAATTCGGTTTGAGGCTTTGCGTTATCTCGTAAGATTATTTCAGCCTCCTGACTAGTCTTGAGTGTTCAGTTTGTACAAAGTAACCGTGACAAGTATTTTTTCCACTCTTCGCCGGTGAGTACAGCAAACAACTCTCTTTGCACACAAGGCAAGCGTAGCTTTCTGGGGATGAAATGGTGCGTGACTTAGGGGTGTAGGTTGGACGGTGAGTGCATTGTTTGGGAACAGTCAGTGATTTGTTCGTTTGACTGAAGAATATTGCAATACAAAGTCATATTTCGTCGCAAGCCACCTAGTCGGTGAACAAACTATCCAGTTTTAATTTCTCCAATCCCATATTAGATACCACCGCATTTTGTATATTTCTCGCCATCTGGTTCACTCCTCTTGGGCATTTTCCGAAGAATTTCTTGAAAAATAGCCTTTCTAGCTGTCGTTTACAACCTTGCTTTCTTTCAATAAAAATTTCAGGTCTGAAACTTGGGCAATCCTCTACAACAGGAAGAACGCGCCATATGGCGAAGGAATTCCTGGACGAATCGGTATTGAATACAGCGGCCCGCAAGTTAAAGGGATCCAACGAACAAACCATGCGACGTCCACCGCTGTCGAACATAGTCTCAACTGCTGGCACCGCCAGCACAGCACCGCAACAGGTCATTCTTCTGCCCGCGGCTTCCACGGGAACTGCTGGGGGTGAACAGGCGTTCCTGCTGGCGTCGACTGCTGGTGGGTCCGCAGTCCTCTTCCCTCTTCTGCTATTACTTCCACTTAAGCGTTCTTTGGGTATTATCCACGGCGAATTGTTCAGTGGTTATTTAGTCATGTGTAGTTTCAAGTGGACAGATGGGTGGGTTAATGTGTTTGGCGTTTCCCTCTAACATTGTTTTTAGCCTGTGTGCCCTATTTGCACAATAAAAGTGGTCAAAGCGACCATTAACAAAGTTGAATTAGTAGGCGCCTAACTTTGGTGCTTACCTATTTACAGTATTTGGGCTTTCGGCCAGACTCCAAGGTAAGGACCTTTTGGTCCACCACCTGGGCCTCGACTTTTCAACGGTGGTGATCCGTTTCCGGTTGTTTCCACGGATTTGAGAAGAGACCCACGAAATTTGTTACATGGACCGAGTGGCCGAAAAAATTGGTTTTTGGGGTAGTTTGCTGTAATGATCTTGTGTGACTAGTGGGCGCTTATGAAATTAGTGACACCTGATGGATAGAGGTACGTTTAGCGGTGTAGTGCTCGTTACTGTGGTTCCTACTACTTTGCGCTCCTTTTGAATCCGCGTGTCATTAAGTGTTGATTGAATTTGCTGTGAATCGGTTTGGTAGGCACTCTGAACTGGCTTTGGATGAGTTCCAGGTCTCCGATACTGGTGATGCAATTTCTGTAGCATTTAAAGGTGTGGCAGAAGAACATTGTGTCTAGAAGTTGCTTAAACGAAGTCGGATGCATCTCTGTTACAATTTGCTATGTGTGTATGTGGACGAGGATTCTGTCGACTTCCCAAGCGGAGTAGTCTAAGAAATAGCCGGTTGAATAAGTTCGGGGTGGAGGCGGTGGGCTTCGGCATGTGCGTACGTTACTCTTGGTCGAATGCTGGAGGCTGGTGGTGCCTCCACTCTCGTATTTTCACGGGAATTTGCTTGGCTTTTTCCAACCAGAGGAGGTGAACGAGGGTCCTACTTCAGGGGCGTTCTACAGTGTTCGAGACTTACACAGAAAGTGAAACTTCTAGGGAATCGGAACAGGATTGTTCTCTGGGGTTGTAGGCGTTCTCGATAGTTAAGATTTGGAAGATCCTTATTCTTGAATAGAATAAATTGGCTAACCTAGCGTTCATTTAATTCTTTCCTGGCAATTTTTGACCGTTTTCATATGCAAGTAATTCGCACCGATTAATAAATGCAGGAATACTCTACAAACGGAAGTTTTTGGTGCAATGTTGTGGGTTTATTTTGTTAATATTTGCCTCTCTCTTCCTTATTCCCGCTACTTATTAATTAGATGGAATAATGCGACCCCTTTCACCGATTCGCGTTGTGGAGGCCATTGAACCCTCCGCCTCGGTATTGAACCCTTGTGCGATTCACCCCGCCGCGGGTACCGCTGCTGCAACGCCGGGAGCGACACTGTTCGTTCAGGTCGACTCCACGCAGACGCCAGTCGCCAGTACAGAGGTCAGTTTAGCGCCGGTCAATGTATATCACCCTACCAGACAACCATTTTCAATTTCGACATAAGCACATTTGCTTTTCGTTCCATCGGACATTTGAAGCATACTGTTGAAGCTACTTTTATTCGGCGAGAAAAGTGCAAAAATAAAATAAGGGCGTTAATTAAGTCAATCGGGTCTTAATTGACAGTCTCTTTCTCCTGTTTTCTTCATCATTTCAACAGAGGTGGAGCAACCGTCTAGAAAAGATTAGCCATTTATCTCCAATGCGCGGGGTGTTTATAGGGCATTTATCTGAACGAATAAATGGATAAGTTTTTTCCTTTTTTAACAAGCTTCAACGCCTCAGTCCTTCGCTACACACCACTGCCAGTGGAGTGCCAATCCTGACGGACGAATTTCTTGCTGAAATGGCCGCCTGTCCACAACACAGCTACCTCCTGCGTCAGCAGATGAGCACCACATTTGAGGCCTCTCCACCAATCGCTGCTGTCACTGCTGCTGCCGCTACCCCGGCGACTAGTAAGTCCGCACCTGCAATGCTATCAATCCAAATACTCCTCACCCATACACCGCGTTCTTTGTTCTTTCACCTTGACAGATATTGTCGGCGTGTCAGTGGACCCCACGGCAGATGTCACGTATCCATTCGAAGCACCACCGGTGAGGCTCGTCTTTTTTTACTAGTTATGAAATTTATGATTTAATGAATCGGTATCGCTTTAGTGCTTTTCTCCAACTGTTCCCCACCCTTGTAATAAATATTCTGATGGAAACAGGGTTATGGTCGATTTTTATCAAATTAACATATTTATGCCACTCATCGCGAAGTCTTGGATACTTTGAGATTTTCTGGTAATGACAGTACTGCACTTGAAGGCCTTTACAAGATCTACGAGTCTGAAAGTACTTTTTTACCTAACCTATAGCAAGGCTAGGAGGTTATTGCTCTTTTCAGGCTCAGTTGAGTCCGTGCCGCTGTTCTGAAACCCGAATATTGCGGGACTGAGGGGGCTGTAATGTACGGGCTGATTAGGACATAAAAGTGTAGTAAGAACGGCATTAGGTATTTTCTTAGATTTCAGAGCTAAAACTTTGCAATAAAGTGGAATTTGCAGTTAGTTTCTATTTCGTTAGGAAGGCTTAGAGACTGTAATTCAGAAATTGGCCTTTTTGCGAACTTATTTGACTCCCCTATTGAGCAGGTCTTTGGCAACATGGGAATGCATCCCATCTTGCATCAGTCTACATAATATCTATGCGTCAGTCCAGCTCCTTCAATTCTGATCCAGTGGCATTATTGGGAATAGCAGGGAAGTTAGAAGCTGGGATTCATGTTGACCATTTGATTAAATTTCACCACTTCTTTTGCGAGCTTTACCAAATACCGTTGCGCCACAGGGACCGCCTTTCTTGCGTTTCGATGTGCAAACTAACAAATATACGCAGGCACAGACTTTCTTTCCAGCCGCACCAGGAGATTGTAAAAGTCTAGGAGGGCTCATCCACTTCTCGTTGCTAGCCAATCAAAAAGCGTTCGGCTGTAAAACAAGTAATTGCATTTGCTTCTTTTCATTATCTAAAGAATGGTGAGCTTCTGCGACGGCTCATCCACGCAATCTTCAGTTGGATTGCTTTTGTGTTAAGCTATCTTAACGTAGAGGCTGGAGAGTGATTTGTGTAGCGGCCTTGAATCACTACACTTGTTTCTTCGTCCACATCTGTCATTTCCGAAGATACGCGTAACTCATCTAAATCGCGAAATTGGATACTGTGCAATCACTTGTATTCTATAAGGTATAATAAAGAGTTAATTGGTTCCTCAAGGCGCCTGCGTTGAGGCGAAGAAGTCATGATCTCCTAGAATCTTCGGCTGACAAGCCTTCGGCCTCCGGGAGGGACACTGCAGTTGAAGTCGTGGAGGAGGCAAGCCAAACACCCTGTAAACCCTCTGAATCGACCAGTCAGCGACCGGTGAGTATTTACCCGTATTTATGGTGGAAATCTTTTCTGAATTGTTGGTTAACTTGAAATTAAACCTGTGGACGACGTAAGGCAATGAATTTAAATATATGTGGAGATTTTTGAGACCGTGCATGCTTGTTTCCGTCCGAAATGTGTGAGTTTGTATTCTCTGAGGCCAATTGAGTTTATAAGCAAATCACTATTACGATCTATGGTCCTTTTCCAACGCGGTACAAACTCTCACAAAACGTATTAGCTGTGGAGGCGAATAATCTAGCCCACCTTGCCTCAGCTTCCATCTCATTTTTATTTCTCGACTGCCTATTTCCTGTATAATCATACGACTATCGAATGGTAAGGATTGATGATAATCGTCACTTGGCAAAACGGGGTGTTGAGGGTAACGATAGGGCAGTTTCATTCTCCCTTAAGCCTTAAGCGCGAATAAGAGGCTTCGTTATGACCCAGGAATTCTGGAACACTTTAAATCACTTTTACCATCTATGAATATTCAGATGTTTTCGTAGTAAAGTATGCTTTAAAACAGACATTCGTGCATCGGCGAGAACAAAATAAGTTGTTTTCCGTCCCTCCCCCCTATCTCCGCCAGTGGCGACTCTCCTCTTTGATTTAAGTTAAATCCAGCGTGCTTGATATTTGGGTTGTGTAAGGTTTTTCTTTTTGAACTTCTGGGATCATGAAGAGTGATATTTTTCAATTTGAATTTGAAGGTATCTCCAGGCTACTCGGAGACACTTCCCAGAACCATCGGTCGCAGTTCTTCCCATTCCAACAGCATAGAAAGTGAGCTCAATAAACCGGGCTCATCGGCAACCCTTCCAGTTGGCAGTAGTTCAACTGGAGCTCGAAAATCCGCTCTCAAAGGTGCCAGAGGGTCAAAGATCAGCAAACAGTGAGTCCTCAAATGTGTTTTTACTCAAATCCTATTAGTGGCTAGGATTTGTACGTCCTTTATCTCCCTCTTGCATAAGAATTCGCTTCACTGTGCTCAACATCGTGGCGATTTCTTGCATCGTGACGGTTGCTATGGCGACAAAAACGGTTGATAATACTGCTGACGGGGAGGGCGGTGTGCAGGTTATGAATGTGATCCGCTTCCCGGCTACTTCTGTTGATGCAAACTCAACTGAAAGTCTTGGTGGACCACCAGGTGGTCCACAACTGCGAATCACCATCTGGATACCCACCTACTTTAATCTGGGTGAGGCAGAGGTGAAGCACTCCATGGGATCGGATTCGGTGAGCAATAGTACGTTGGGGAGGAAACCACCAAAATCGATTCAATTGTGGCTCAACAGGACCAGTCGAACGGAGGTCCGCCTGGGCCCCAATGTGCATCGGAGTGCTGTGGAAATTTATGGCAAGTTAACTTGCTACTGATTTTATTAAGTAAAAAGTGGAGTTTCAGCACGCTCAACTGTTATAATTTAAAAGGATTTTTCATGAACCCAATCTATGAATGTTGGATTTATTTTAGTAAGTGAACGCGTTCACAATAAATGATAAGAGCAGTTATTGTGCTTGTTAATGACCTTAAAGGGCTATATTTTTATTTACCAGAACCAAATTCCTTCCATTTATGGTGAATAAAGTAGGTTAGGTTTAGTCTAGGCTCAATTTTAGCGGGGACTCCCTTTTTCAACGCATTCGTCGACATGATGTATTTCTCAACTTATTTGTGCCTGTTTTGATTGGTTAGGCAGCAGATTGCGCTTTCTACTTCTACAGAGATATCGATACGGAGATGAATTTACTCTAGGTTATGTGATGAGGTTGATTTTATTTACATCGGTTTCAGTAGAACATTCAATGTAGGGGCGTTTTTCCATGAGCACCAAAAATTAGGTTATTTGATTTACTTTTTTTTACTTTCAATCGAGGTTAGCAGCCCTTTAGGCCTAAAGTGATGCACCAGCGAATTTAAAAAGTACTTCATTAAATTTGGAGCCAAAAGTAGGGTGAACTTTCAAATTGTAATATCAGACGTGCTGTAAAACGTGCACTTAAACTTATCACCTTTACTTAGCAAATAACGTATAAGACTAGTGTGGACTTTTCCTTAGCTGTCAAGTCTTGCCGCTATTTTATTCTGCTTCTCATTGAAACTGAACTCTTGGTAACGTAGCATCTCTGTTTTCTCCGAAGATTACGGGTCTGGATGGAGACCCATCAGAAGGTTGTTAATAGAATTCATTTTAAACGCACTGGGGTGGCCACTGAAACCACGGAGGCTGGCGATTTTGTGTAGTTAATTAAACAACTTCAATAAACGTCACCCTGTTAATTCGTTTACCCCAAATGCAGTCTTTATGGGTGTTTCTGTTGGTGTCCCTATAGGTAAAAGATAACTAACGTATTTTATCATTTGATTTTACACAATTGCATGATTATTATTCGTTAAGTGATCTTTTTTATGACATCAACACATCATTAGGCAAGCTTTAGCGAATGTTCAACTGACAAGTATCATTTGAATCGCTCTTGGTTGTGACATGAAAGCATTGAATTCTCCTTTTTTGCGCATTCGGTGCACTTGTGTAGGATTTACATTGTTATTAAAGATTTTGTCACTCACATTCGTAGAATGATTAAGTACATAGCCTTTCCTTTCGCAATTTTTTTGGGTGGGTCTCCTCTTATGCCGCCACAAGCCACTTCTCCTTTGGATATAAGTGATTTCACGACACAATAGTTCCACCACGTGTGGGGACCTAGGTCAGTAGCTTTGTTTTGAGTTCTTAGTTTTTTATTTGACAATGGTGTCAAGTCGATGAGAAATTTGCAGCTTTGCGAGCACAAACTTATTTCACCACTGACAAAAAGCGAATTACACGACTATTTTAATGGTGGATACGAATATCTAAAACAGTGTAATAGCAATGACTGAAAAGTTAAAATGAAGTACACTTTCTGGAACAACATTGCCTCTATTCATTTCGGTAACCATTGCTGAGTCTGGGAGAATGTATGCGTGCTTGTTGGTTGCCTCAACCACGGCACAAACATGGTAGCAGAAAAACTCCCAGTTTGGAGGGGAGGTTAGGTGTACCATGATCATAGAATCTTTTTTGAGCATCCGCTCCCGAGTCGTGGGAGGAATAATAGCCTTGTCAAAAACTTTTCAATCTTAGGCTTGATAAATATATTTGATCTCCGAATGTGGTCTCTCGGATTAGTCATAGCCGTTGTTTGTAATGCTCCAGTCGTTTTGTTGCCTTTGAAACAAGGAAAGTAGTTCTGATGGGTTAGAAGCTGATTTTTTGCTCTTAAACTCGAAAGAAGCGGCAGCCTTTAGCCGAGTCCAAACTGCGAATCTATTGTGCACGGGAATACCTAGTTGAAGTCTTAACTGTACGCGGTTTTCAAGCCTTCCAGTAACAGTTCTACTCTCAACAATGCTATCATTGGCTAAGGTTGGACATTCACTAACTATTGTTACATTGCAGAGCCACAAGTTTCACGTTCATTTCAAAAGAAATGTAAGGGTATGAATGTTTGGAAATGCCAGTTACAAAACGCCCAAATCACTGCCATTAACAATGCTAAAACTAATCCTTTTTGTTTCACTACCTCGAAAGAAACGCAGCTTTTAGGGGTCATTAATAAGTTAGTTAAATCAAGTAATATTCTGCCACCGTTGCGTAGCAACTCAATTGCTTTGTGATTGTCCCCCTAATCCCTTTTGAGGCGACTTGATTTCACTTCTTTTCACTCATGAATACTTGACATGAATGGTCTTATGTGACCGCCACACGTTCTCTACTCAACTTTACTTCAAAAGCTGATGGGATACTTCCTTAATGCCATTAACTTCCATTGTTAACGAGAAGTGCGTTTTTTTTGCACTTCATCTGCTAAAATCTGGATCGCTCGTCTACCAAAGCTAGAGACCTTTCAATAGTTGACGCATTTCACAATCATCTCTGGCCTGCAAACTGCGACGATGAGATTCATCCGTTAAGTACCATTTAAGTTCAAGGGTTGTTTTAATACTGTCACAAATCGTATTTCAGGTGCTTCCCATGAAGATATTAGAACCCAAAACCATTTGTGTTAGCACACACTTTAAAACGGCTTCCCCAAGGTACCTCTTCACTTCACCTTTCAAAGCTGTTTTGCCGCCATTCAGATATTTCCAGACTAAGCTCACAGGTGTCTGGTTTTTTGCTACAGAGCTGCTGAATAAATTCGTCCGGTTTTTCAATAATGGGAATTGAATCTCTCCAGAAAGCTTTATTCGTTGAAATTATCACCATGACAATACATAATCCCTATTTAAGAGGGCAAAAGCTTGAAGAATCCGCGTTTGCTCAACGTTTTTTCTCTATCTCTTTCCTTCCTTTGCCATGTGGTTATCCAACACCAGGAAAGGTAATAAGTGCTTGAAAAGGGCAACATCAAGGGTATGCGGAGAACAAGTGAAGGGCAGTGTCTCCCTCCTCAAAGTGTGATTTGCAAAGAAGTTCCCGCTCATCTTCGAGTTCTGTGGAGTACACCTCAGTCGTAATTTTTTCGTTCCCAGCAAATGAACCCAAGCCTTAGTCTTTCGGAGATTAAATGATGCGTACCTTAGAAGTCTGGGGCAGATATTGAATGGCTCTTTTTAGCACAGGCAATGAGACATTCCTTTGGTTAATGAATATTACATTTCAAGAGCCATTTCAAATCAGGAATCGGTGAACAAATCAACGTGCACGGACCAATTAGTGGTCTTTCAAGCCTACTGCCATCTGTCAGTGTATCTGGGTAGGATTAAGTGCCCCAGCTTCCAGCACTTCCTCTTTCCATTTAATTGTCTCATCACCAACGTTTCACATTTCTGGTCACGGTCATCATTATCTAGTATTCCACGAACAGATTTACTCAATTTTGTGGATGGTGCCTTCTGTTATCGCATGACACCTAAAAATTCTCTACAACAAAGTTGATGAAAGGGTTTTGCAGCTTTAAGACCGGGCTAAAATCGGTTTGCAAAGCAGGAGAGCTCGAATCACATTCGGGTTATTTGACAACTTTTTTCCCGAAGCAGGTAGCGCTCTGTTTGTGGCTGTTGTACAGAACTGGAAATTAGGATAGCTAACAAGCACTGATGTGGCTTCAATGAACTTGCTTTCAGTTGGTTCTCGGGGGTAGCGTTCTGTTAAGCTTTTCAACTACAGATAGTCAGTCGATTCATTTCTACGTAAGCTTTCTTATCCATCACAAATGCATAAAGCATATCAAACCTCCCACCACATTGTTGGCATTGTATCACCCAAGTCTTTCGTAAAGGTGTCAGTCAAACTAGGAACTTTGACCTTACAAAAAATCATTTCAAAGTTTTCTCAATTCAACTGAATCATGCTTGCAGCCCTTCACGTCCAGGTGCCCACCGTGCTCGAGCTCCTCGAAATTGGTCAAGTTTGTGAATAATTCAGCTCAACGCTCTCACAAGAAGACTTCCCCCTAGTATGTATTCATCAGGCCCCCAGAATCTGGCGTTCCGTGCTCTGAACGCCTTTTCATAGAAATAACTAATGTGGCTATGGGCAGACCCATGTACGGTCAGTCGTCTTGAAAACTTTTTTTACGATTCAAATGACTTACTACCAATCGTCTCATTTGCTATTGTACTGTACTGCGCTTAAAGTCCTCGAAGGCTTTACCCCCTCGTTTTAGGCGAGAAACCTCATATTACCTCATGGCGCATGGAGTGTACTGGCACGCTTGTCGCCTCCTCTTAGCGTCGGCAGGGTAGCGCCTTCTTTTGTGTAGTTTCTTCTGACTTAGTCTTATCTCCTACATACCTGGCAATGCCTATGTCAAATCATTTGACCCAATAGCTTCATCCAAGAGGCCAAGGAGGTCACTAAAGTTGAATGGTGTTATGCTTACTCAACGCTTACGCTATGTCACTATTAATGCAGCTGACAGCAAGTTCTGGGCTCTGTAAATTCATCCTCCAAGCATATATTAGGGTTGCATTCTAAACTTGTTTTGCTAACGAGGGCTTGTACTATAGCCGGCTGAGTGGATTAAAATGGGGATCTGTAGTTAGGAAGGCATTTGCGCTTAGGGATGCAGATCTGCTTTAACCTGTCGTTCTTAATTTGATTTTTAAGTTTTGTTTTTGCACATTGTTTTTATTATGAATAATAGCTGGTATGTTGATTCATTTTTGTGACTTTAAACGTAATTGTCGCACTTGTAAATGCTGTCCAAAAATGTGCTTTCTCGAAGGGTCTTGTGTACGTGGTTATTTCGATCACAACATTCTCAATTCTCTTACATTCTGGCTCTTGCAATCTTTTAATATTTGGCATGTATTTCTCAAAGAAATGTATTAAGTTTCTAATGGTTATATACCTCAATTTTTTCATGGAAAAACACTAAAATATTGCCTGGGATTTTAACTGGTTTTCTAAGTGTAATTTAGTGTTTGGGAATTATTTACCTATTATTCCTTTCATAAAACGGATGTCAAGTTGGTCAAAGATTTGCCAGGTTTAACTCTTACATACACAGCAAATGAAATGTAGTGGAGATTTCCTACATTCTTTTCCCACGTTTATTAATTCTGGGATATAGTTATTCTCTTTTGATTCGGAAGTATTGTATGCTAGAATGCAACTTAACCTTATGAAAAGCTAAATTCTTGATGAAGTTTATGATAGGAGGCTTCGATGCCGTGATTGTGAAGGCCTAAATCATACAATGATTGCCAGTTTTTTTTTCACCGGTAAACGTGGATAAAAATCGTCCTAACCGAGTGTTAATGGGGTGTGTCGGGTCTTTTTTGAGGTAGTAATCCACTCCACAGTGAAAGGAGGGCTGGAGGCCTATGGGCACGGTCGTAAGGCGGTTTTTTTGAATGATATGCCAAGTTTACCCCAAGCCTGTGCGGCTTTGCAACCGAGTGAAGCAGATAAGCTTGAATAATGTTCATTTGATTTAACTGTCTCATTATGCCAGGGGAGTTCAAGGCAAGAAAGCGGTCGAGAGCTTATAACTGCTGCCTATATCTTTCCTTTGTTCTGCATTTACTGAGTTTTTTTAGTCATATAACAGTTATGGAGGAAATAATAGTAGTCTTCAGCAAAAAAGACACCTCTTTTCAACACAACACCCTTTTGTTAAGAAATACAAAGCCCTACAGTATTTTTTATGGCTTAACCAAGTTGTCTTGCTGTGTAGGAACAGTATTCAGAAAAAAAAGGAATTGCATAGTAGATGACACAACTTGTAATAAGTGACTTTCTCTTACACATTTTACTTGCTACAGACTGAGATTGCAGAGAATATGAGCGCATGAGATGGTTTCTTGTCAGCCAAGAAACAAAGCCCAATTCTGGCACTTGAAACTGATTAGTAAAGATCTAGATACGGGAATATGAGAAGCGTATTCTTAAACTTACAAATACAGACGTCTTTTGGGCTTTTCGAACTGGTTAACATCAAATGATCACATCAACATCTGTGATGTGTAAACTCTGATTTCTGAAGGTCTCCTACCCCGGAGTGGGAAAATGTTGTAATGCTGAAGAAAGAATAAATTGAATGTGCTCAAAGTCTTTTTGTTAACTGAGAAAATAACGGTCAATCGTTCTCTTGAAGTCTGACATTTGTTACTCTGCAGCAGTCATTCTACCGTTTGCTCACTCCCACCTACCGGAGATTCTGTGCAAAGGGGTGTGTTTCTTGTGCTCATGTAGTTGCAAAAACCATGCTATTGATGTGTCGCACCCTAAATCATTCTTGAGGACGCAGTAAGGCCACCAGTAGAGGTCAGTTATCACCACACAGGAGAATTGGAACACTAGAGGCACATAGAAACCGCTCATTGGCACCAATTGGAAAGGAAGAGCCCGTGTACTTAAACGTAAGATTAAAATACATGGTGTTGTAATGGGGATATCTCATCATTATTTTGTCCGAAGGCATCCAAACTTGTCAGTCCGAACTTTTTATTAAATGGCTTGTCTACTCCTCCAGATGCAGTGGATGCACGATGGATTCAGAGCACCCGCAGTTGTCGACAGCGCTATGTGTGCGATCATTCTTGTGACCCTGGTGCGGGTCATGCGTGCATTTGCCAACGGGGCTACCGACCGGCTGGACCCGAAGATCGGTCGCGTCTCATTGGCTACGGTTCGTGACCCTGGCATAATGGTTGATCTTTTATATCGATACTCATAGGGGTATTGTGGTGGCTTTAAAGATTTTTATATCCTTTATATCCTGATTAGATGAGATTAATTAATGTGTTTATCACTGGAGTTTAATGTAATATCTTGAATCTCAATACTTTCACCACTAGCGTCAAATGTGTGATGTTGGGTTATTTTAACATCGACGCCTGGCTTCACAACTAAGTGATTCGTTCCCTTTATTCATTTTATTGCTAAAAAAGTGTCGCGAACAAATTTAGTTACCGGTGCTTAATACATAAGTAAATGTAGGATATTCCTGGTCTGAAGGTGATTAATTTTTTTTAGATTTTTAGTAGCGGTTGAGATGGTTGTTTCAGTGGTGCAGCTGATCAGTTTAGCAAATCAAATGTCATCCTCACAATTTTTGAAAGCGTCGACCATGTCAATGCCAGCAGCATTTCTTTTCCTCGTTTGCTGGAGGTTTGGGGCTGGATGAGGAGGTGCCCAGGTAGTTAGGTAAAGGGAGGAGGAGAAGGAGGCGAACACTTGCCTGAATGCGTCACACAACCACCTTTTTTGCAGTTTCTTACGAGATCTACC